ACGAAGGCGATTCTTACAGGCCTGACGACGATGAGTATATGGATATTGAGTACGAGGCAGTCTTTACTGATAGTACTATAGCCGAAGAAGAAGATGCCGTCACCAACAGAACGGTATCCTTGGGGAGGAAGGTCACCTTCGATGACAAACCTACCACCATACTGGAGCCCGATCCACAGCAGAGTGCTCCAACAGTTGAAACAGGGAAGGCCAAGGACCCTGGGCAGACCATTCTACCTACTCCGAAAGCTACGCCGTCACCAACACTACCTCCACTACCTGAGGCCTCAGACGTGGAAGACTTTTTCGACGCCGAAGAGGTGGAGGATATACGGTCCGAGGCACCTATCCCACCAAACCATGACCAAGCGCCCTATACCACTGACTCTCCTGCCATGAGAGAGCTCACCTCCCCTGCGAGGCTGATGGGGGGGGAGGAGGGTGAGGCTATGGGGGGGCCTGGTGATGACCAGGCCGATGGCAGGCTACTGGATTCAGGCACGGAAAGCCTGGTCGAAGACTCTGACGACGATTTCGAGCCTGATACAGGCCATATGGAGGAAGCGGTGGCTTCTCCGCCGGCTCAGGAGCGGCCTCGCAGAGCAACAACAAAAAATCAGGGACCAGGCTTCTACAAGAAGCTACAGCAGGGTAAACACCCTTACCAAGGTTTTTTCACAGTACATCTCGATAACCCACGACTACGTGAGGTAGTGGCCTACGCCCTATCCACGGTCAAAATCGACCACCTTCTGCAAACCATCAACAAGTCCCATATACCCAGGAACTACCGGCAAGCGAGGAAGCTCGAGAACTACCACAAGTATTGGCTGCCTGCCATGAAGGAGCAGGACGCCGGCCTGTTGGAAAAGGACGTCTACGAGCTGGTGGATACGCCGAAAGGCTACAACGTCTTACCGAGCAAATGGGTATACGATGAGAAGATGGACCCTCAAACTGGTGAGGTGAAGGCCAGGGCGAGGTGGGTGGTGTGTGGCAACTTTGACAGGGACTCCTGGGCCACACAGGACGTCTACGCCGCCGTTGTGAGTAGCGTGGCAGTCAAATGCTTTTGGGCTATTACAGCCGTGAATGACTGGGAGTGCCTTCAATACGACTTCAAGATGGCATTTCTCAACGCCAAAATCCCTGACACCGCACAGTACTACGTACGACCACCAGATAGCTTGGGCAAGCCACTGGGCAAGGTGTGCCGGCTCAAAAGGGCATTATACGGCCTAAGGAAGTCACCTATCTACTGGTACGAGACAGTGAAACCTATAATAGTTGAACTGGGCTTCGATACCCTCTCATCAGACCTC